ATGTTGAGGCCTACTGATGAAGAGACTGCTTCGACACTGGCTATCTTTATCTGCATTTGTTCGTGTGTATGAGATAGGAGGGCAAGGTCATCTGCGAAGTCCAAATCGTCTAATTGATTCTGAGCTGTCCATTGGGTGCCGTGCTTTCCCTCAGATGTCGAGGTCTTCATAATCCAGTCGACCACAAGAAGAAAGAGGAAGGGAGAGAGTAGACAGCCTTGTCTGACTCCGGTCCTTACTTGGAATGAATCTGTCAGCTGTCCTCCATGCACGACCTTGCACTGTAGTCCGTCATATGAGTTCCGGATAATATTGACAATCTTCTCAGGAACTCCGTAGTGTCGAAGAAGTTTCCATAACGTCCTCCTATCCACACTGTCAAATGCCTTTTCATAGTCAATGAAGTTGATGTATAGTGACGAGTTCCACTCAACTGATTGTTCGACGATGACCCGTAGTGTCGCAATTCGGTCTGTGCACGATCGATCCTTACGGAATCTAGCTTGTTGATCTGGAAGTTGGGCGTCTACTGCATCTTTCATCCGGTTCAGCAACACTCTGTTAAAGACTTTCCCTGGTATTGACAGTAGTGTGATTCCTATGTAGTTTTCACATTTTGATGCAGTTTTGTTCTCTGAGCTCAGAGGACAAAACTCCATCAAAATCATCCACCTGAGCTACAAATCTTCTCCACCATCTCAAGTTTTCACATTTGCTCAGATCTCCTTTCTTTGGAATCTTGACGACGTGTCCTTCTTTCCAGTCCATCGACACTTGTTCCTCCTCCCAAATCTTTTTGAATAGAAGGTGAAGCATGTTTGTAGTTGCTTCGATGTCTGATTTCAGTGCTTCAGCTGGTATATTTTCGGGTCCTGTTGCTCTCTCGCTCTTCATTTGTCTGATGGCCATTCTGATTTCTTCCGTAGTTGGTAAATTGATATCTACAGGAAGATCCGTATGTGCTGCTTCGATGTCCGTTGGATTCATTGTAGCCGGCCTATTCAGGATTTCCTCGAAGTACTCTACCCATCTGTTCCGCTTTTGTTGAACTTCAGTGATTGGCTTGCCTTCTTTGTCTTTGACCGATCTCTCTGATTTACTATATTTCCCTGCTAGTTTCTTCGTTGTATCGTAAAGCTGTTTCATATTTCCTTCCCTTGCACCTTTTTCCGCCGTCGTTGCTAGTTCTTCCACGTACTTCTTCTTGTCGGCTCTAATGCTCCTCTTCACTTGCTTGTTTGCTTCTATGTATTCAGCTTGTGCTTGGACTTTCTCTGCTCGTGTTCGGTGTTATTAACTGCTGTCTTCTTGTTCTTCCTTTCTTTGATCCCGTTCAGTGTTTCTATAGAGATCCATTCCTTATGATGATGGTTCTTGAGGCCCAGAACTTCTTGACACGTTGAAGTTAATGCTTGTTTGATAACTTTCCAGTTGTCCTCCATAGTAGTTTCTTCTTCCTTCAGTAGATCCTGTAAGGCTTGGAACATGTTGTTGAGAGCTATCTTGAATTCATTGACTTTGTCAGTATCTCGAAGGAAGGCTGTATTGAACCTTTGTAGTGCTGTTTGTCCAGTTGTCCAGTTCTTCTTTAGTTTCAGATTTAAATTGGCCACAACTAGGTGGTGATCTGAAGCTATGTCAGCTCCTCTCCTGGTTCTCACATCTTCCATTGTCCTTCGGAATTTTTTGTTGATGCAAATATGATCTCTATGATTGATTGGGGCCGCTCGTAGAATTGGTCTTTAATGTCGTCGTTGCTATCCATTGGTGGGTGCACAACATTGGATAATATTCATTGTGATCCCCTCCTTCTTTGTTTTGAATGATGCTTTGATGATTCTGGATCCGTGAGATTCCCATCCTACAAGTGCATTTCGTGCTACTTTGGACAGCATTAGAGCAACTCCCTGAGTGTGTGGAGCATTTTCCTCTTCGTGACCGGAGTATAGTAGCATCTCTCCCGTATTTAGCCTTTGTTGTCCAATTTGCTTCCAATTTGTTTCAATGATCCCAAGCACCTCTAGGTTGTATCTCCTCATTTCTGCAGCAATTTGGGAGACTCCCGGTCTCCCACATTGTACGAGTGTTCCATGTGCCTAAATAAATGGTTGCTCTGGTTGTCAGAATGAGCATCGACGTCGTGGCTTTCGAAGGAACTCGGCTTTCAACATGAGGCACCATAGTTCTTCTAAATGAAAACCTTCTAACTTTCAGGGCAGAGTTTAAAAGGTTTGAATTATTTTTTCTGGTAAGCGTTTTTTTAACGAGCTAGTTTTCTACGGGATGGGGACGCTAACCTTATCCCCAACCCTCCTCCTTTACGCGGGCTTGGAACCGGCAGTAACTCTGGAAGAGCTACAGGCGGAGTTATTAAAATTACTATAGTATTCAAAAACCCCTTCTGATACCACTATTCTTTGTTAAAAAAATAGTGAAGTTTTGCAGTTGTTACAGAATAAATATATTAAAGTAGCGTAAATTGTAAATCGAAATAGTCATTTATTAAGGTATCAAGTTAGAACCAATATATTAATGACAGAGTAAAATGTATAGTACGGGTGGAGAATTGCATCCTGCTAATGGAGATAAAAGTAATAAGAATATATGAATATAATATGTATAAGGAAGATCCTGTTAAACTGATTACGAGTATAGGGTTGTGGAGATTGTTGAGTTTCCAGGTTTTCAATGGCGGTCTAACATTCACTCATGATTTCAATTGAAGGTAAGTGTAGTTAGAAATTCATATGAATAAGAAAGGATGAATGTGTAGATTAAGAAAGACAGGGCAGATATAAACAAAAAAGGAATTAGGAGGTGGTAAGGCTTGAATATATCCAGTTTAGGTATCTGGCGATCCAGTTGTGAACCAAGGTAAACACAGAGGTTGAATATAACTCCTTTAGATAAATATGTTTGCGTTCTGAAGTTGATCTAAATAAATTCACCTTTGTAGAGGAGTTCCTTTAGGTAAATTGTATGGGAACAGACATAAAACAAAAAAAGCTTCATGCTTTAATATGATGATGTAGCGTAGCGTGAGGGTGTAGGAAATGTAGTTTCTGAGGTAACCAAAGATCCAGCTTAGATAACACTATCTCCAATAAACAGAATATTTATGTTGAACTTTCTATTAAGAAATTAAATTTAGTAAGAGCATTATTGTTCAGAATTGTAACGAAGAATAACTGTATTTTCGGATGGTACTCACCATTGACTGCTATAATTTGGGGTAAAATTAAAGCAAAAATAAACATTGAACAGGTGTTTTGCCTCTTTACGAAATTCCTCCATAGTATCTTGACAAAATCCCTATGCGATTATGAACCCAGAACTTTCGAGCTTATCGATGAATGAGTTCTTTAGAGCGTTAAGTCACAATTCAATTGTCTAAATAAATAAGCTACCTTGATGTTAAACTCAATGTATGAAATAAAAATGAGGAAGCAGTTGATGCGGTAGTGAATCTTTAAGATTTAAAACAATTTCGATAATACAATTTACATGTATGTGTGGAAACACGTACATAGAAAGGAGCAATCGTGATTTGCAATTAAGGGTGACTGAACACATACCAAAATGTTTGCAGAAACAAATGGATTCCAATGGTGAAATAAGATCACAGGATAGACAGACATCATCCTCCATTGCGAAACATTTGATTGAGACGGGTCATAAAGTTGACATCAAATCAGCATTTGTAGTGTTCTACAAAAGCCTTCAAGGACGTATACTAAGGTTCATTGAAGTTTTGGCTACAGGGAAGTTGAAACCCCGTTTATGTGTTTAAAAACAATTTGTCCTTACACTTAACCTGCCCTGGTAATACTGATTTATTATCCAGAGTGGTAATCACATTTGTTTTTGTGTACTTTAATATTTTTTCCTTTGTTATGTACTTACCCTTATGACTTACCTGTCTAGTTGACCTTTTAATTTTCATATATAAATGTCCTTTCACTGGTTGAAATCATGAGTTAATTGAATCTAGACCATCATGGAAAACCTGGAAGCAATAAACGGCCGTTTCGTCCTAGTATGTGACTCCTCAGCAGTGCGCATCCACGGTCCCGCCCCCCACGAGAATCGAACCCAGGACCTATTAGTATCGCGCTAGGCGCTTAACCAACTAGACGAAACGGCCATCCAGCTTCAATCGACTCATGATTTCAACCAGTGAAATTTCTAAAATCTCCACAAAACTCATTCTGATATATGTTCTAAACAAGTATATTAGGTGTGATCAGATTGATCGAAATGTATTGTGCAAATATATCACATAACTCCGATAAACTTCGTCTTCTCATTGCATTATCGAAAGTGAATCTTTAACTGAAATGGTCTAGATGTGCGTTACTAGTGATCAACCACCACCTTGTTTGACGTACGATATTCGTTGATACAGGAGTAGGTTATAAGCAAACAAAAAGAGGTCGAACCAGAACATCAGATCAGTCCATAGATCATTAACAATAGGACTGACCCGTGCAGGTAGGTTTAGAATACCTGGTCGAAATTCGTGAGGTTATTAAGATTAATAATGAAAGAATTCGGATGAAATAGCTCAAAATTAGCCATGTAACGTACAGATGCTTTCAATCTTTCTGTTATCTTGTATTGTAAATTGTAAGATTATTTCATACTTTTTCTTCGTACATTCATTCTTCTTGAATCATATTGTATATACCAAATGTTATCGACTTCAGTTGGTACTGTCACTAATTCTACTATTCTAGTTTTTGTCTTGATACTTTCACCTCTTGGTACTGATATGATGTGGTGATGAACATCTGTTCCAGATTTTTTTAGTTGTTGACCAGTTAAACGGTTATACAATGATTCATGATTTCCAATAGTTTTCTCTAGATAATGTTCTGCAGCAACTTGGTTGTATCTATTCATTTATGCAGCGATTTGGATGACTCCCAAGTCTCCCACATTGTACGATCATTCTATGTACCTAAATTAATGGTTGCTCGGATTTTCAGAAGAAGCATCAGCCTAATGAATTCCGAAGGAACTCGACTTTCATCATGAAACGTCATAACTCTTTTTAATGAAGACCTTCTAACTCCCAGGGTAAAGTTTGAATGGTTTTAATTATTTTTTCTGGTCAGCGTTTTTCAGCGAGTTAGTTTTGCACGGGATGGTGTAGCTAATCTTATGTCCAACCCTCCTCCTTTATCCAGGCTTGGGACCGGTAGTAGACCCAGAGAGGCTCCAGGCGGAGTTAGATAATGTTAACTCATGCTAAACATTATCTTCAAATTTGAAGAAACTCCCATAGATTTCATATCTGAATATGAAAACTGTAGATTAACTAAGTGATTACATAGAAATGTACAATATCCATTAAGAAAGTAAATGTCCTTGATTGAAATGCTAGTCGAATCTGTGAAAAGTTATACAATGGATAGTTAAATGTCTAATTCTAAATATGTTCGGGTGACCTTAAGATGAATGACCTCAGAAATTAGATCAATTTATATTATCCCATTGAAGATTAAGAGATAACTTAATCCCGACGTATAAGATACTAAGAAGTGATTTTCGAATTGATATTCCTTTCCCTTTGTTGAAGTAAATCAAAAGTCAAGAACATATTTAATTCACATGAAGGACGGGTTTTCCCATTGAGTGATCAATTCTTAGAAACTACTACCGAAAAATGTAATGTCTGCACCTTCACTTGATATTTAAGAGAAAACTAGGGACATACTGAAGCTTACCATACAACAACTAACACAAGGCTCTGGTTTTGTGCCCTCAGAATCTAAACTTCAATCTAAATTATTGGGTTTGAACATATTTCATTCTAGTGGGAATCTCACGAAATGTAAACTTTACTAGGTCAAGTACATTATTATAAGATCAAGTCTATATTTTAATTAGTCACAATTTAGTAACTAATATCATATTTGTCTAGTTCGTAGTGTGCAGTTGCAATCTTGGCAGAACTAATGCTTCTCTTCATTACCCTGTAGCAACTTAATGTTATTCGCCTACCCATGCCGTGAATTGGAACTACAAGCCTAGTAAACACTAGTGTAAAGCCAAATATTCAATATGAATATACAATCTGTTATGTTTTCTCTCAATTTATTCACATGATTAAATATAATTCTTTATCTATATTCAACTTTCATATTTGGAACTATCAATATGTTTTTTTGTAAGCAATAATGGATAGTGGCTAGCAGTGAAATCCAGGATGCGCGTTTCGTCCTATTTGAGACTCGTCAGCTGGATGTGCCTGCATCTCAGGTACATTCTATATAAACTCATTTAACAATTCAACTGAGACTATTAATTTACGGACGACCTTTGAACAAATCTCATGTGACCTTGAGAAACATTAGCCAATCAATAAAGAGTTAAGATATATTATAAAAAACCAAAGAATTAAAGTGGATACACCTCTTTTACATGGTTCAATATCTTGTCAAAGTTAGAAAGAGCTTCAGAGGTTCTAAAATTGTCGGCCTCTGGAGCCATGAAAAGGATCCAAGAACTCTTCCAGTCTCGACCATATAAGTTCAATATTGTTAGTGTGAACTCCAGTTGTTGAGTCCATAAAATGCCGCTTGTAGAAAGTAACACGATGCAAATAACCAAGTTTATGTAGGCATCTGTACCCTCTCCAATTATCCGTATATATTGTAGTACCTAGCTGTAGCCAATGTTACTGGTACTTTTATCATCCAGTTCGTAACAATTATCATGATTTGCCTTAATCTTAATCTGGATCGAGCGAAAAAGGCCTATTCTAGCAGACTTCTTCCTCCAATACATATTACACTGAAAGACAACATCATCACGGTAGTCTGAACAAGGTCCACAAGTCATTTGATCACCTTAATCAATTATTACGTTTTCTCTCAAATCCGCTGTGAACCAATCGTACGTGAGCATCAGGTACTGAAATCGGCACCGTGACCCTGAAATCTTTCAAACGCTTGTGACTCGCTCGTTCATAAATTAGTCTCGACAAAATTCGAACGAAAATTGATGATCAAATCAATTCACACAGCATACAGTATATATATATATATATATATATATATATATATATATATCACCTATCCTCTTATATTTCATCAACTTAATCCGCGTTGGTGAATAACGGAATTAAATAAGTCAAGCAAGAGCGAAGCGAAATTATGCTCGGTGAAGGCGTGAGCCAACGACATTTACTCAAGTGTTAATCGATATTTATAGTGACACAAAAATAAGCTAAAGATATGTGATGAATGAGATAAGAAGTGAACACACATATGCTTATATAAAGACAATCAAGGTTGATAAGTGAATAATTAACAAGATCAAAATATAGCTTAAGAATGAATAAAACTGGCTTCGGCAGAAGCTAGAATAAGTTTTATGGGTTTAACATAGTAACCGACAATACAGCTTGCTGAGATAGCATAAATTAAATAGATTAGTAAAAATAACTGGTTTCTTACATAAAACACATTATTAGTAAACACTTTTTAGCCGGATAGATATATTTGTGGCTAGACATATGAGAAGTGAAGTTATACAACATGAAAACAAACTTCACACAATATCAAGGTAAACTTGGATGTTCAATCTTCAAAGGTGGGAATAGGATCAATCCATATCAAAAGTATTTCATGTATACGAGAGTAACTATGTCTAATACTAATTTTCGTAAGAAGATTTTGGTTAAACAGATAAATAACTAGATGATTTATTTTAACACATAGATATTGGTACAACGAGGCACCAAATACATATGCACCACACAAATCTCATTCGATATGTGTGAGGGCTGGGATACTGCCCGGGTGCCTAAACCGAAGCAGGTTGTTTTCTTAGGGGGCCACACCCCGAGCCTTTGACCTGAAGGTCTGATCCACAAGGCAGTGGAGCATCGTAAGGAGACACAGTCCCATGGAAGCCGGTGACCAACAATTGGTTCATACGCCATTTGTTCCCGCAGGATAATGCATCTCCAAGATATTATAATACAAAATCAATAGCTCTTCTAGTCAGTTTTAGTGATGCTACTTTGCCAGAGTCCCCTTTCAAAATTATTCATACAGTTAAAAAACTAGGATCGAAAGGAATACAAATTCAAGACTTATGAACTAAAGCTTCTAGCTATCTACCAAATTTAACCTCTGTGTAAAAAAACAGTATGTCCAGTCCATCACCCTACCGTGGTCTTAATTTCTCTTTCTATCTTCCACGATCTGTCGTTTTCTCGTCTTTCTAATTATTTTTACGTTTAGTTTTCCTGTTCTTCATATTTCTTAAGCGGATAATTAGCACTTAACCGTCAAGAATCTAAATCCCAATATTTTTCACTAGCTGCTAAATAATTACGCAACTTCAAATATTTGATTTTAATGAGCATTTTATAGTACGATAGCACTTTAGGTTAACTTCACCTGGAGCCCTTCTGGGGTAATAGTCAATAAAAGAAAGAGTTAGACGTGGCGCGCGATGCTAAACATATGCTAGAAGGGACAACTGCTTGAGGCCAGTCACATGCGGTTTTTCAATGAGAAGTTTCTGTCATCTTAGCGCTTTAAAAAGCCTTACCGCCAGACAGAAATTCGTGGGTCAAGGTGAGGTGTGACAAATTTAGGGTCAACCTACTGTAACCCCCTCCTTCCATTGTGAGAAGACAGCATCGTCGCAGATACTGGTTGCCCGAGGAAAACATCTTACTACTAGTCATCAGTATGACTTCACCCTCGGACTTTAAGTTTCTTCTTTTAGTTTAACCGTCCTCCTACCTACCTGTCTGGAATGGCAGGAACCGAAGGAAGATGTGTCCCAGCCAATGTAGCTCGGTTGAGTTATCACAATAGGCAAGCACGAACACCATGTCAAGTTAGAAGCTACAGTCGGGAAGAATTTTATAACCTAGACAATAAAGTCTGACTTCTGTATCACCTAAGACTATAGGTATGAATTACCGAGAAACCCTGGACAGTGGAAATACACTCACACCATGTTCCCTACTTTGTAATGGTCTTTTAGTTGATGTTAGTCTGTGACGAAACTAGTCACCAAAAAGTGTCCCTTTGATAAACTAACCTCTGAAATAAAATAAGATATTCTTGAACTTTGTTAGAAGATACATATCAAAATAAATGAAACTCCTACAGTTGAGTTACAAAAACCAAGGCGTAAGTATGTGACTATATTATCTGTAGTTAACATTATATGACAAGTTACTATAAAAAATTGACCAGAAGATAATGGGACTGACGACACTGAATATGGAGACCAGTACACCAGAATAGAAGAAAAACTCAAGCCTCTTTGTATTAATTACTTTCACTTGAAGGATGCTAATGGTACTGAAAATAACAGTCAAACTGTCCAAGTTTAAGAAATCAGTCACCTTAATATAAAAAAAGACACAAAGAGCTATAAAACATTTAAAAACGTGATTCAAATGAGATAAACACTATTTAACAGACGATATGAACTTGATCATTGTATTTCGACTACCAGTTGTAGTGTTCTATACCTGAGAAGCATCATCGATGAACAAGGAGGTTCAGATGCAGACGTAAAGGCAAGGATTGGAAAAGCAAGGACAGCATTCCTACAAGTGAAGAACATATGGAACTCAAAACAACTGTCTTCCAACCACTATCAAAGTGAGAATCTTCAGTACGAACGTCAAGGCAGTTCTACTGTACGAAGCTGAAACTTGGAGAACTACTACAACCATCATCAAGAAGGTGCAAGTATTTATAACTAGTTGTCTACGCAGGATACTCAACATCCATTGGCCGGATACCATCAGCAACAGTCTTCTCTAGGAGAGAACAAACCAGCTTCCAGTTGAAGAGGGAATTAGGGAAAGACGATGGGAATGGATAGGACATAGATTACGCAAATCATCAAACTGCATCACGAGGCAAGCCCTAACTTGGAATCCTGAAGGAAGGCGGAAAAGAGGAAGGCCAAAGAACACATTACGTCGGGAAATAGAATCAGATATGAAAAGGATGAATAGGAACTGGAAGGGATTGCCCAGGACAGGGTTGGATGGAGAATACTGATGGGCGGCTTATGCTCCTTCATGAGGAGTAACAGGCGTAAGTAAGTAAGTAAGTAAGTGTAGTGTTCTATATATACTAATTAGGACTATGGGCATTAACTTTGTTGATAACTCAATCTCAATTTATCAACAAATAAATGAACATACAAAAGTATTATATTTTGAAATTTATTATAGCCAAAAATAATCTTCTTTTTCATCGTGTTACAATTGTCCGCATTTGTTTTTTTCGTAAACGTTTTAGTTTTGCCGGATTTGTTATCTAAAAAGCAAAGTAACACAGAGGATATAATCATTTGAGTATAATCACTAACCGGTACAACAATTTCTGAACGACGTTCATTTTCTAATTTACGTTGATGTTTCTCTTCTTCTTTTAAACGTTTCATTCTTTTTAATTCATCTTTAGCTTTTTTTCGTTCAATAGATTCATTACGAATTTTTTTAATTTCTGCTTCAATTTTTCTACGAACTTGAAATGATGTACGTATACCTTTGTCTTTTTTAATTGCACTGTGTCTAAAACGAAAATCAGTAAATGCATGAACAATAATATTTTCAGAAGGGGTTTTGTGGAGATTGTAGTAATTTTAACAGTTGAGAGATCATGAGTCAATTGAAGCTAGACCATGATGGAAAACCTAGAAGCACTGGACCGCCAATTTGTCCTAGTATGAAACTCCTAAGCGCCTGAGACTGATAGATCCTGGGTTCGAATCTGGCGAGGCGGGGTCGTGGATGCGCACTGCTGAGGAGCCCCACAATAGGACGAAACGGCCGTCCAGTGCTTCAAGGTTTTTTATTGGTGGCCTAGCTTCAATTGACTCATGATCCCAACTGTTGAAATAATATTTTCACCATAAAATTAGGAACAAGTGCAATACATATTAATGTATTATAATCTTTTTATTATTTATTTCCAATTAATTTACCTTTTTTCATTTGACACAATATATGACTGAAATTTTAATATTGAATTCAACTAAAAAGTTCTGTTAGTATTTATTTATTTAAATACATAAACATTGGTACAAAAAAGCACAGGATAAATATGCGTCACACAAGTCACTTGACTTGTGTGTGGGCTGTGATACGTACTTCTTGGGTGCCCAGACCAAAGCAGATGGTTTTATTAGGGGGCCACACTCCGAGCCTTCAACAGACAGGTCTAATCCACAAGACAGTAGAGCAACGTTAAGAGATGCAGCCACATGACCAAAAATAGGTTTATACGCCATTTATTCCCTTAGGATACTGGAGCCCATGTGCACCATTGGTTTGGAATCAGGATATTCCAACTTCTCTAGATGGATTCTTTATATCCACCAACTCGGTTTAAGAGCCAGACATTCGCTACTTATCCTGTCAATTTCGTAAACGACACCATCGCCGAGAGAAGGTAGTGAGTAGGATTTCCCTGTCGGTGGCTGCATGCACGTGGCTATATGAGAGCCTTTTGTAAGGGAGATTTGACTCTCCTCACTCTCGGCCGTACTAGGACATTTGTTAGTACCAGCTAGAACTACTTTAATGAAAATTAGCACGTGTAAATTAAATTAAAATCATTAACGAATCGATTTTAGTTTGATAGGATAATAAATGTAAGTAATAACACCCTAAGATTAAGTCTAAAATGAAAAAAAAAATTCATACAATTACTTCGCTTTATTCAAATTTATGCAGCTTTCGTTGTCGTTCTTACTTCATGAAAATGTGAAATCCCAAAACAAAATAGAAAAAGAATGAAGACATCATAATCATTAATTCTTGATGTAACACAAACAGTACAGATTTATGTACTTGGTTGATTCATTTTTATGTAACGGTTGTTTTCTTTCGTTTGTATTTTTTTCTCTCTTCATTATTACATTCCTTAGCTAGCGTGTGGAGTATAGTTATTTCAAAATTTATGTCCTAAACAAGAATAAGTGATAGTAATTAACTACTTAGACATACGTTTGTGAAGTGGGGCTTCTACATCAAACATAATGGTTGATGGTCAATCGCTTTAACTATTAACTTCCTTCACAATAATTACAATATAAATATGCTGAACCTTTAAACATAAAATTTCGGTATTGTATTCATACAATACTTCGAAAAGCACATCTACTTAATTAGTATGTAATGATGATGTTTTTATAGAACGATTAAAAGTCATCAACTTGTCTGGAAACTTTTTGTTGCAGAATTCTTTAGGATTTTATGGTCAAAATCGAAATCTACTGAGGTACGTAGCGTATATAAACAAACCAATCAAAGAAATATTTTAAAGTATTTATTGTATCTATGCTAGCCTTACTGTCACAGACACTGTTTTTAGTTTAATGGTTTGTTTAATGACACGAAGTACAAAACATATTTCTGTCATTCGAAAAAACTCATAATATCATGGGATATTGGGAAGAAATTTGAACTAGTTTAGGACATGTTTTTGCATTTAAAATCGTTTATTTATTTATTTTAACACATAGATATTGGTAAAAAGAGGCACCAGATACATATGCGCCACACAAATCTCATTCGATATGTGCAAGGGCTGTGGTACTGCCCGGGTGCCCAAACCGAAGCACGTATTTAAAATCGTAAGATTTCTTGGAACGGTCTGTATCGATACATATTCCTAAAATAAAGAATAGAGTATCTGGTCATACAGACGACTTTATATATTCAGGGAGTAGGGCAACTGATGGGAAATTCATGAACAAAATCTAGACAAAGCTGTTTTGTACTCACTAGTCTACACTACTTAAAAGCCAGTTGATTCATTTAGATCTAAATCAAGCCCTAAGTAAGCAAGACAAAAACCCTTTCTGTGTCTTGGTTGCGAAGCATGCTTGTCCAAAGATATCTGGTCGCTTTTCATACATTTCAGATAATGAATACAATGATCAACTAAATAGATTGAGTGCTAATTTTTTTTAAGGAAAATAAACAGTTCACTAGGCATGATTGTGAATCAACACCCAATGAAGCAGTTGGGAAACATAATGAGCATATCAAGTTACTACATACCATAACGTGAGAAATATGACAAAAGATAAGGATGAATAAGCCCCCAAATGCCCTGGTACGGCTGAGAGTGGGGAGAGTCCGCTCTCCTTCTCGAAATGCTCTCACATGGCCACGCGTATATAGCCTCTGCAAGGGGAATCCTACTCACTGCCTTCTCGCACCACGGGTGTTGTTTACGAAAATGAGAGGACGAAAAGCAAATGTCCAGCGCTTTAACCGGATTCCAAACCAAATCAATGGTGCACATGGGCTCCAGTATCTTACGGGAACGAGTGGCGTATGAACAAATTGTTGGTCACCGGCTTCCATGGGACTGCATCTCCTTGCGATGCTCCACTGCCTAGTGGATCAGAACTTCAGGTCGAAGGCCCGGAGTGTGGCCCCCTAAGATAACCACCTGCTTCGATTTGGGCACCCGGGCAGTACCACAGCCCTCGGACATATCGAATGAGATTTGTGTGATGCATATGTATTTGGTGCCTCCTTGTACCAATGTCTATGTGTTAAAATAAATAAAATAAGGATGAATAAATTAAAACATGGTAGCAGTTTAGGAAATTAGTGGATGCTGATTCGATTTGTAGATTAACGTTCAAACTTTATGGGTGGACTTCTCGAACCGAAGGTTATGAGTGTTGGAACTAATTGTTTTGTCCCACCAAGTAAGTTAGTAAAAACTTATTAACAGCAATCTAAAAAGTAATGAAAGTCAGGAACCAGGACAAGCCACGTGACTCTTAGTGATACGTTTACGTATTTTTGGATTCAGGACCTTCGAACCAACAGCGTATACATCACTGTTAAAGTTTAGTAGACAGTTTTAGTCGCATCGATGAACAACTGTCACCAACCCAGATATACTCCAATTTGTCGGTCACATCATTCTGCTCGACCGAAACAATCGCCACTAATCGAGTAGCTTTGATTTATTTGTGTAAATTAGTAGTTAGATACTTTTGATATGTTTAGAAACTAGCAATTATTTCTACAATATTGTAATGAGATAATTGTTTCTTGCAATATTATGTAATTAAGGATTCAGAAATACTCAGATGAACAATTAAAACCATATTATACACCGCTTTTATTAACATAAGTTTTTCAGTGGCCCAACTGGGATAAAATAAGTGACCAGTCCAGTATGACTAAGAAAATTGGGGAACCAAGCAGAAAGCAATATATAAGCTGACAAAAAATGTTGGCGGGTAACTTGCTAAATCTTAGAACAGAAAAAATTGACGAGAGAAAAGACGACGAAAATCCCAGACAACTGGGGACTGAAACGAAAGGGGGAAAATTAGCAATCAGAGCTACAGGATAATGAAGCAATTAATACTAGAAGGTGGAGGATGGATGATTTCGTATAACCGTGACTGATTTTTAACCACATCACCAAATCACTAACTGGTAATTTCAAGCTTCTCGAGAACTCCCACTAAAAAGCCGATTTCCCCAACCCCCCTATTTCGGGGAACTTTGAATAAATTTTGGGGTTTTCTCCAAAGTCGTAAGAAATATGGTAGTTTTCCCTAGTGTCATAAGATTCTGCGGAAATATAGGGGAAAACCCAGTTTCCCCAAACATTTTGGAAATCTCCCTGGAGAAGTTTCGGAATTTTGTGCCATTTCTCGAAATCCACTATTGAGGTTTCCCCAAAACGGACAAAAGTTTCTCCAAAATAGGGAGATTCGGTCAAATTCAGTTTACATCAACTGTTTCAGTTTCAGTTTCAGTTTGGGAAGGACAGGAGGCTCGATGGCCTATGTTAGTCCTGGCAATGGTGGTCTCTCAGTTGATCCAACTTTCTTTTAAAACAGTCGACGGATGGAGCCTCAACCACGTGCTGAGGTAGTGAATTCCACTCGTTGATGATTCGATGGGACACAAAGTCATGAGAAAAAAGACGGTGGGACATATAAAACATGACGGTCTTGATCTTGCTAGAAAAGTGTGCTTACTTCGCAGTACGAACTGTTTTCCAAGTACGGCCTGACTTCGGCTTCCCCCTAACTGTACAACTCATTTTGAACAAGCCGGTCTCCGCGCGCGTCTTGAAAATCCCTAAGGCCGTGTAGCGGTAAAAAAATCCTCAATATAAATAGCTCTGTAAGTTTTCGACATTGGACGCTAACCACATTAGTTTTAATGGACTTACCCAGCTGAAGGCGCTCAGTCATGCATCCGCACTAGATCACGAGTGGGAACGCCGTGCTCAACATCCCCTGCAATCGCTAGCCAGATTAGATCAGACGATCCTCGATACATTGATAGCCTATCAAATATATCTTCAAACCTCCTCTCTTCTTTCTTTTGATTTCATTTGGTGGGTACGATTCATATTAGAGAAGGTTTTTACTGGTTAAAGCGTTGTCAAACCCCGAATACCTGTGGCATCTTCAACCGGATCATAAGTGTGAAGTCAGGTTCAGGTACAAGATATATGTAAGACTGGTAGCTGGATACTGTTATTTCTCATTTTAAAACTTACGCCGGTTGAAAGTGGTATACCCCAAGACACCATCTTAGGCCGCCTACTTTTCATACTCGACTTAATGAATTGCCGTCATCGTTTGAGTCGTCCACATTATTATTTGCGGATGATATAGGAATCTGGAGAGCAATAAGAAGTGAGGCTGGTCATTTTGATCTCTAGCCCGGCCTAGACGAATTGGTTAGATGGGCTTGTAGGAACAGTGAAATGTCACTGAGTCGTAGACAAATCATCCGCAGTTGGGTCACTCAATATCGAACAGATCGTCAATCCCTCTCAAGGTCAGAGAACAACCAACGCTCATTAGCTGATCGTATGTCATGGACTGACGCATGTGGTGTTAGTATTCTCGCTATCTTCTCTGTACTCATTCTTACTAATATATTTACTAAATAACATCCTTTCTATGTGTGCTACAAAGCAGCCATAGTAATTTTATACGTCGAAGGGTAATCCATATTAGGTGTTAACCGTAAGATTATCTGGTTCATCACATCATTCCCATTTAACTCGAGTAGGTCTCCAATCATTCGACGTAGATAATCTAAGTTGGTGATCTACATTCCTATCTTTTATATTATCAACCCAGCTGAGTAATTTACTACAGTGGGTATTGTATCATTTGAAAAAAATTGATCTTGCCTGTAAACTGGCATGCCTCATGTAGCAAACTGTTATTTGAGAATAAATTATTATTATTACAAGCCCGAAGTTGGGGCTTAAAAGGTAATTTTAGGAAGAATGTGCTCATGCACATCGGACACGGTAATAGTAACCATTTTACTATTGACAGTATATTTCTTCCATGCGTCCGAGAACGTAAGGACTTTGGAGTAATTATGATTCATGACTTGAAAACAACTACGCATTGCAACGCGGCAGCTGCCATAGGTGATTGCGCATTAAAGTCACTTCGTCGAGCATTGAAATGCTTTGACGAGGTGTTGCGAACTTCATATACCACGCATGTAAGACCACACCCAGAGTACTGTATCCATGCAACTAGCTCATGTCTGAGTAAAGTAACTAACTCAATTGAGCGCGTTCAGCGTGTGGGAACGAAATCAGCGAATGGTCTTTCCAAACTCGCTTACGATGTGCGCTTGAAACACCTAAACTTTTTCCCCTTGTCGTGTCGGAGGACGCAAGGTAACCTTATATTGACATTTCATATCTTTAATTACGATTTGAATATTAATATGTCTTATCTTTTTGCTCCCTCCAGCAATAATAATCTCCGAAGTTATGACAAGAAGTTTCGAAAGCCGCCATTCTTATAAACTTAAAGTTGGGTTCCGTTTTGCCCATCGAGCGGTTAGTGACTGGAACACCTCACCCAGATAATTAATATCAGCTCCATCGGTGAGCATTTCAAAGGAGAAGCTGGATTTTCAATGGAGGGCAAACTTTCAGGATTAATACAGGTCCGCTATTCTACTCGCAATATGCCTTAAATTAATTCACTTATCGACTATCGTTCCCGATGCCATATACTTGCATTTGAATCTCTCTGGAAAAGAAGGCTTAGCTCCAGTTTGATTATCTACTTCAAGCTCCTCAAAATCTCATCTAGTCCACATGTAATATAGTCCTTACCCAAGGTCCACATACATATGACCTTCAAAATAAAGTATTTACGGTCAAGGTTGAAAAATACAGATCATAAACATGGCAAGACTTCTTTCTCATCAATTATGCACTAATTTGGAACAGTATTCCTTACGAAATACGCATGTTTGATGGATTACATGCGTTTCTGAGACTTCTTCATGAAGCCCTCTCTTGAACTAATCTTTTAGCACGCACGAATATATCTGTGCAATACGCAGATATCATAGGCCCTCTACATATCTAAGTCATATCAAGCTCTGAGTCTCGTTTGCCTTTTTCTTTCCCTTTGATGTTGTAATAAATATATCTCTGTGGATATATGTCCCTCCTTAATTTTTACTTGAAGTAGACAGACAACACATCGGGCCTGTTGATACTGCTCAACTATGATCGGTCGCAAAGAGTCCTCACTACTATGATAACGAGTTGCCAAGTTAACCTCACGATAACTTGCCTACCAACAGTAATGTTGCTTCTATAGAGCCTGTAAACCGACACCCGGTTACGATTGCAAAAAACACCAACAACATCAAGTGAATGCGAGTTCCTTCTTCTATATTTTAAATCATTCTACTAATTTTACGCGCAATTTGTTGACATACCATTAATTTCCTCTCATATCATACCTTCATATTTTCCATTACAAAGCGCTAAGCATTGTTGAAGGTTCATACAAAAAATGTCTCACTGTCATCAAGTTACTGTGAGTGCCTTCCTGTTTATCCTGTATTAACTTTTTACTCTTCTGTACACTATGTTGACTAGCAATTAATATTATTTCTCAACTCGTTCTCTTATCCACAACTCATATACTTCTATACTTTTTCCGCCTGCTTAAATAAACAACTATCCTACAGTATACCCTTTTTAACGCTTATACTCTGTTTGGCAAACTATACTTTATACTATAGTCAACAGAGGCATTGCATCGATGCTTTACCCACCGTCCATAGCTTGTAACTGCCTGACAAGCTTGTAAAATGGTACTTATAGAAATAGTGCTTTCCAACAGGTTGTGAAACACAGAGAATTGTGTGAGGTATGACGTATATACAAAAATAAGCCTAAATAGGCCTAACATCACAAAAGGAGGGAGGGTGGAGTTACTGACCAGCAAGCATTGATGGTGAGGGCGATAACTTCAATCCACCCGTGTTTGTGGGGACAGAACATTTTGTATGTATCAGGCTCTTTATAATTGAGAATAAGACAGTCAATCTAAGATATAGATTGTCTTCCTACGCTCACCACTCAGACTCATGTTTCCAATATTATGCCGGATTAGCTATTCTACTAAGACAACCTATAACATGCTAACTCGGACTTTTACACTAGGATTGCGTGGCTGACATCGGATGGACAAAAAAAGAAAAGAAAAAAGACAATAAAAGATATAGTCACTAGTATTCTTAACACTTCACCCTCTATATATACACCCTTCTAATAAACCGCTTCCCTTGTACCAACCTTGACTTCCCTTCCTTCATGTGAGCTTACTCCAACTTGTTAAACATCACAACTCATTGTTCTTTATTAGTACATTCTCTAATATAGAGCCTCTGACTTTACTTCACTCTAACAAGACATTATATGAATTTATTCTAATTTATTATACCTCTGTCCGTTCTACTACACAATGTTAAGCAACCTTTGACGTTCATATCCAAGTGCCTTGCTGCTCTTCTGTTTCTCTTTTTTCTTCTTCAGAATCTTGCTCTGAGAGCACAGCTATGAAACTCCTGACGTTTGGAACAAACTTAACGTACGAGTCCTCTCAAGGTCATAGTTTACAGAAAGCGCTCTACGATTTCACCTTAAAATAACTATAAACTTAATAAGTTGGGAAGCATTTTGCGAACCAACAAATGTTGTAACTTATAGATCATGCTTGTAAAAACGGTGTGTACCTGCACATGCAGAAATATATTATTATTATTATTCTCTTTTTTCAGCACCACACTCTCAGTTCATCGTTATGGAGCTTCTTACTCCTGAATCAAACCTAACGAATGCGTTTTTCATGGTCACAACTCATAGCAAGTGCCATTAATAGTTAATTTACAGCAATTACGAGCTTTTGAAAAACTGTATAGCATGAATGCTTAGCAACGTCTCAGTTCTAATGTGGTGGAATTGGTACTGACCACATGGCGCTCAAAGCTGAACATAAGACAGCTGAGAAAAGTCACATTTACTATTCAACGCGGAGAAAAAGGTCAGTGATGATGAATACGAGGATAATTTATGGAAATGGCATGACTGGGTCATACGGGAGTGGTACCACCACGTAACTTCTTGCTTTATGTACTGAACATATTACTGTTTTCTTGAGGATAACGTGTCCTTCAGGAGTGCTAGACACCATGTTGCTGATTGTCAAGACACGAAGTTTCAGAACATATCGTTGTGGTAGCAAAGAAAAATGTACTAATACCGATCTAGACGATGATATCACACCAACGCACAACTGCAGAATTTTGACCTGGTGTGCATTCCTCAAGATCACAACATGGACTCTATACCATTGTTGAAACAGATCATAAAAACAGTATATTAATAACACATAAACCTAATTTTAAACTCTCTGGTACCACTGTACAAATGTACTGCCTTTTATTTTCACCGATCTAATCCACTTATCAACGGTGATTGAGAAGCGTTGTATCTTTAAACCAATGATGCAAATAATTGATTATGCCCGTGAAAATGGCGTGTACCTGCCCCATCGGAAATGTATATTACCCACTTATTTGTTAGGGAGTTAAAGATAGCACCCTTGCCAATTAGTGATCGGCAATAAGGAGTCAGCAGTTCATGAATCGACACATGACTAATGTTCATTCTTTTTATCTCATATTCCCAACTACAAATATGTCTCTAGTCGTACACTTTTGTACCTTGTAAAACAAAATGTAAAATTTTGATTTATACGCCTAAATAGTTCCCGCGATTAACAGATTATTATTATTATTATCAGCATTATTCAATATTATATTTTTGGTACAATATAGAATTCTCAGCGTACAGTATTTCAACAAGTTTCCGTTTCTTTCTTCTTGGTCGGTTCTGGCGATAAATATTGAGTGATCGCCAGTTAGATGTTAGCAGTTCAGTAAATGAACATCTGAATAACGTGCATTCTTTTCGCTGTATATTGCCAGCAACCATATTGTCTCTCATTGAGTTTTTTGTAACTTTGACAACGAAAGGTTGTACACTTTTCAGAAACGCAGTAGAATACATCATGCGATTAATAAACATATTGATATATTAAAACAAACAAAAATAGACAACTTGTTGAAATGTCTGGATGGCAGGAACAGGTAGCCCAGATGCTCAAGCAGACAGTTTTGTGTCAAAACAAATGGGAAGGTAACGTGTTGAAATGTATGCGAATTATTTCGCTGTATGCACGACAATTTCTCTGTCTTCAGATCTCACGGAAATGAATAACCTCTTATTGCTTAATGAACTATGGCGTTTCTTTTGGGATATTAAGAAAAATATCCCAAAAATTATCCTGTTAATTCTAATGCTATCCTTGGACTTGAAATGGTATTATTTTCTTACTGGTCAATATTTATTTCACGTGTCGTTTTCCTACTGGTCAATATTGCACAATGTTATTTTGTATTTTATGGTACGATGTGGTCTGCTTGATTAGTATATAAACAAAGTATGTTTGAAATATAATGATTTATATCTCAGAGGCTGAGACTTGTTTTCTGGACTTATCTGACCGGGCTAGACAGGAAATCAGGGCCAATCAGAACTCTAGACTGTTCATACGGTTTTACGCGACATTGATCCGATCGATAAATCGCTGCCGTCTAATCTGTAGTCAATTTATAACAGTTTCTTTAGCGATCTCATAATTAATCCTGAACAAAATGTTGTTCACTTTAATCTGAGATGTGAACAACATTTTGAAACCCTGTCGAGACACCATGAAGTTTGTACAATTGAATATTCTATAATGCAAACTATTTCAAAGACCGTTCAACTGTGTGCAGGCTTTCCCCCACAGTTCTATTGATCTCACGCTTTACTGATATCGAAAACAGTTTTCTATCTGACTTGTATATAAAGAACCTACTTGCTTTCAGCATTACGCAATAATTACTGTTACGGTTTGCAAGTTCTTGTGTAATATCTATTCTTCTTTACTATTCTCCATTATTAGCTCCTGGGTTCTTAAGGAGAGATTTTGGTATGTTGCTTAGTGTACTGAAAGCAGTTGATGAAGTAAATGGTATGTCCTTTGATTTCATTATGAATATGGTAATGGATAGATGTGTTAAATCTTGCGAACTACTGTCAAGTGTTATTCTCTCAGATAATAATCATACACCCCATTTACATATTTCTCTTTGTACATCTGCCGGTAGAACATGGTGCAAATATATTAGGATCAACAGGTACAAGCAAAAGAACAAAAGCTCTACAATATCGTATCAAACAAATACGAAATGAGACGAACAGGTTGGAATAGTTGTAGACGTGGTATAAGTAGGATGATAATATTCATTATTGTCGTGCTGATATTAGTATACACTGAAATTATAGTGATGAGATTTTTATTATTATTTTTAATAAGTATTACTGCTAGTCATTGAAAGAGATGATTACAAAAGTGCAGAAGAGTTGTATATAATTGAACATTTACAACTTAACAACCACAAACTTGCCTATTTAAACAAATAATTAAAGTGTATCAAGTCATTTAAATCTAGTACAAATAAGAGATGAAGAGCAACTCATGCAAGTTCAATATTCACGTACAAGTATAAAGACAAAATTTGTTGTTTTTTTAGTTTTGTGTTAAGCAATAATGACTGGCACCTACAGAAAACAATTCACATGATAATCTGTACGCATTTGTCCACTCAGAAAAGGAAACAAGATAAAATTATGGTGTGCAAAATTCAAAAAATCGAATCAAATTTTAACAGATATTCACAAACACAAAAATGTGTTTTTGAATAATAAAACATCCAGCAAACAGTCTTTCGTTATTGAATGTCACATAGAATCTCCACAGAATAGTCACTTCCTCTCTGATTTGAAGTATGTTGACAGACAAATTCACAATCCTCAAGAAAATTAGAGATTTACGATAGAATAAAAACAATTACACACCATAGATAATTTTACGTCAAATTCAATACACCAACAAAATGAATGTAGAAAGTCACAGCAAAAAGAGTAGTGAATGAGACTACACATGGTTATTTCACAGTAGAGTTGAATCAATCTGAAATGTTGATTAGAGGATTTCAAATACAATGAAGATCTAATCAATTACAATGAAATACTAAGATGTAGTTGGCATTGTCCCTTTTCGGAATGTATATTTTTGAAGTTGTTAATGGAATGTCAACTTGTAAATGTGGATGTGAAGGATAAATCATTTTCGGTGTAACTGATGAACAAATAGAAGTGAGATCCAAAAGATAATCCTCCATTAACTGCTTCAATATTACCACAATGAATGTTGAAAATCCTTTTGCCTTTCGTGCAAATGCTTCTACATGATCCGACGATTCCTAAAATTAAATTATTCGAAAAATATATAAACTTAGATATTGAAAAGTTTTAACTCCGTCTGGAGACCCTCTGGGGTTAGTGCCGGTCTCAAACTCAGATAAAGGAATAGCGTTGGGCATGGAGTTAGAGACCTTATCCCGTAGAAAAATAACTCGTTGAAAAACGCCAATCAGAAAAAAATAATTCAAACCACTTAACATCTGCCTTCGGAGTTAGAAGGTCTTCATTTAGAAATGTTATGACGTTTCATGGTGAAAGCCGAGTTCCTTCGGCAGTCATGAACTTAATGCTTCAAGTTCTGATGTTGAATGGTGATAATGAGTGAATGAGGGAACAACATTTTCCTTAATTTGTTCATGAAATAGCCATCTAGAATAAGTAAACATATTGAAACAAATGTTTCAACATAGTGATTAATGAAGCTTTAGCTCAACAACTCCAAACAAGTTCTTCATTGGCATAGCTTTCTTACTTAACATTATCAACTATCTTATGGATGCCTATGCCAATATCGTTATGTAACGAATAGATGATAACTGAATTCGATATAAGAAAATGAAGCGACAGAGTTGAAGAGTCGCTTATCTCTCATGAAATTGATTATGGTGATTATTGATGTGTGATATGATTTTTGGCTTTGAACATTCCTTTTAAACATTAACACACAGTGGTTGCGTGCGAAAACTACCTAAGAAAAAGTAAACTATGAAATCACTTACTTCACCAAAACATATCCGCTCCATTGTTCCCCATTTCAAACTATGATGCTGACGTAAAGTCACCAATTTCTTAACGAGATGAAGTTTTGATCGATTATTTCCCTCAGCAAGCTGAATCTTCAAAGAACAAAAAGTTTGTCACATTCAGAATGATTTGTACAAGTGTTTGCATTACAACAGTACTATATGACTAAACTATTTCTGTCAACCAAAATAAATACTTTCACATATGATATTCATTTCAAATGAAGCATCCGTCAATTTATCACAAATTGTTCAATATCAAACAACACTTGTATGTCTATAAACATACAACTACATTCACTGAAACGGTAGCTTAAATTGATTGAAAAGTAAGTCGGTTACCAGGTGAGTTCATTCATGACTTCACTCTGAAACCAGAGTTTCATATGGTTTGTCACATTTCACTGATTTGACAACTGTCTGCACTATTTCACCAATCATTTCAAGTTGTAACATGGTATGAAGTGAACTTTCCTGGAATCTATCAATGTCTGTTCGTGTTCAGATTACGGGCATTATATCACGATTAAATATCATTGAATTTTTCAATTCATAATTCACACAACGTTTCCTCATTTCACATTGTCATCCTGGCAAATGTTGAATGAAGGAATCTTGAATAACATGAATAATCTTTATAATTTCACTATGAATGATGAAAAGTTTAGCTCAACACTATCATAATTGATCATTAGTGGTAAACAGATGACCAACTTATTCCATTCTGTTTACTTTAATCATTAGCCATCAGATTGGAAATACGGAATGTTTGGAGAAGTGGACACATCATTTGAATTAGTATGTTCTATGCTTGGGTATCCCTACTTACTTACGTCTGTTACGCACAATGGAGCATAGGCCACTGACCAGCATTCTCTAACTCACTCTGTACTAGGTTAGTACCTTACAGATATTGAATAAAGCTTGTCAGTTACTTCATATTAGACTTGAAAGGTTTTAATGTATGAAAGTCACTAATATAACTTACTTCAACGGTTTCCTTATGTGAATAACCATCCAAATAGTCACTAAAACTAGAGTCATTTATTGTTGCTGAAAATCTCCTCCCTTTGAAATCCCATGGCATTGGTAAATGAGATCGTGTAGACCAAAATCCCACTTCATCATTGTAACGTTTCCCTTTTGGATATAACTTTTCCGGAATAAGAGATAATTCCATGTTATTGATACCCGTCTCAGTTCCATAATAAATTATTGGTTGTCCTATAAATGTGAAGAATATATTGTATAATAATTGAGTAAGCTAAACACATTACACTATCGAATTGCGATTGATTACAGATTAAACACTTCTTGCTTAGTTTCATGATGGAATTCACAATGTAAACATTGTGTTCACAGAACAAGATACCATTAAAATGTATTAAAATCATCAATCATGTCTGCCTGACGACGTCGTCAGTGATTGTTGGATTAATTTTCTGGTATTTGGAATTTGCAGGCAGTTGGAAAATGTGTTTTCATAAACATTCATCATGACATCTTGTAGTGTGTATCCAGTTGAATCGTCGTTCTCATTCCATAGTGTTGCTATGAATGTCTCACAATTTGTGAATTTCATATATTCAATGATGAATTAATTTGCATTAGAAGACTAGAATATCAAAATAGAAGAATAGTTTTAATTCATATAAACAGATGCCATAATCATGTTTACATACCTGGTAATAATAATGTTAATGCAAGCTGAATCACATCTGAATCTGTTGGATTATTTGAAGTACTTGTTATCAATCCTAATTTCTCCTTATCAGAGTCTGAATATGTAGAATATTTCTCTATGGTTGTTTTGCTGAATGATACTCGGGTTTCACTTCTACCCCTATTGAAAACCAATTCACGACTGATTATTAAATCAGCCACATCTCGGAACATCAACATTGGATCTGGATTATCGCCCACACCACAACCTGTATCACCAGAGTTCACAGCCAATAATCTGTAGAAGATATTGTATATACAATACATATGTGTTTGGGATTATGTGGATAAAGTGTAGTCACAATCATCTTTGTAACAAATATTATAATTAATGTCTAAATAATTAATTGTTCAATGTGAATACCAGTTAATCACTGATAGTTTAACAACTTCCAGAAATATTAATGAAGAATATTCCTTTGGATAGATTTGTATCTGATGTTACAAGTTTATGGTAAATACCTGCACTTGAGAAGAATGTCAACATTATACGGAACTTACACAATGGACTACAGTCCAAAGTCGTGCATAGAAGACAGATGATAGAGGCATACAATGCTTCTTACTCGGAGCGATTCTCTTCCTTCTGATGGTTCGATGGATTATAAAGACTTCGACATCGGAGGGGAATCATGAAATATAATAGACAGCTTGCATGCAATTAAACGATTTAAACTTCTTAGATGATTTGGCTCTTCCATCACACACGCTAGTATGGGATGTTCACGTGAATCATCTTATGGATCATTTAAAATTATGAGCTTATCAATCGTAATAAGTATAGATAACTTGTAATGATAGAAATAATGAAGTAATTACAAAGTAGAACAATGGGTTAGTTGATGATTGAGTAATGTATCAGTCAGTTGTTCAGTCAGTAACAACGTGGAACTTCGTACGTACGTATATCAGTTCGAGTTGACACACCACATTAGGACAGAGATACAGTGGTCGATTCAAATCCTGAAGTGCTAGATGTAGTGAAATTACAAGCTGTAATCAGAAAAATTAGGGTTTGACGATGTTATTCAAGGCGTATAATCCAGTGAAATAAATTTGGAAAGAGAAAAAAGAAAGGGACATGAAGAATTCAGAAGATTAGAATTTCGGAGAACACAAAGTGTGGATGTACCAGCGCCATTACAAACGATTTTGAGCCATGTCATTCAAGGTCTCTAACCATCGGTTGCTATCGTCTCGCGGTCCCCGAAACCAGGTAGTCTACACCTGCCAATATGACTCAGTCTATTTGTCAGTGACGTCATGGGCTTGTGCCATGTTTTGGTCTGGCCGCCTCTAGCTTTCTTCCAATCTACTCCTATACAACAAAACATCGCAAATCAAGGCAGTCGGTGGTTGGGCATACGTAACACATGTCCCAGCCATCTCAACTGATGAAGTTTCACTACGTCATTCGAGTAATGTATAGAATGGTATGAATTAAAAACCAGTTAGTAAATTACGATAAGATACATTGAAATTCATAAACATAAAGAAGACAACTGTTGGTATGTTAGTCGAATGATACCATTTTATCATCAAAGTGACTTGTTGAACTTGATGTTAGCCAAGGTACAAAAAGCTTTTGGACATATTTCTCTTCAACATAAAGATCCAGTTTTTTTTCCTTCTAAACAACTAGTGTTTCTACCAGTTGAACGGTTCTCTATCTGACAGATTTACGCAGATAACTATTGATATGATTTATTATTGTAGATGACTGATTCATGTTAGATGTAAGATTCATTAGTATCAAATGGAGTAGACTAGAACTATTGACGTTTACTTTGATATGATGTAGGTGTCTGTAACCATGAAAATGAAAATTTCTGGGACATTTGAATTGCTCTACACGAGCAGTTAGACAAATAGTCTACGTAATTTGTCTTTCAATCTCGAGGTTATCAAATGATTCACAGAAAACTATATTCTGCCTACATTGAAAGTTTATTGAATTGATCTGCATAACTTTACTATCAGAGTATCGCTGAGTGTGTAACCTATATATATATACCGAACACATAAACAAAGACTCTTTGTTTACTTACCTGTTTATTCTTGGACAGTTTCGCCTTACTCATTTAATTCCTTAAATTAACGGTAAAAACATAGTAAACTGTACGGTCGAAACTATCATTGGTCTGTATTTATACGAATATCTCTGATGTTCAACCAATCATTCAGTCAGTCAGCTACAATGAAGGAAAAAGCACATATATACATCGGTCCAAGATGCCATACCTGATTAGCACAACAAGATGAACACCAAATTCATAGAAGTCGTTTCTTCAATGGTAGTGATATATAAAAGATCGCATATAAGGATATAGCATAGGAAGAAAGAATTAGTTCGTAGAAAGAAAGATATGAAGCGATTTCAATCTCCTAGTTTAAGGGAAGACAGAGAGTGTATACACCGACGCCACTGTGATCGATTCTGAGCCATGTCACCCAGAGTCTCCAAATAATCATTATTGGGTTTTAGTTGGCAAAATTTAACAAAATTAATAATCAATAACGAACTTACTTTTCTTTTCCACTTTCCTTAATCCACTTGTTCATTTCTTCTCTTACACCTTCAACAAATTTCACACTTCCATTTCTATATAATTGAGAATTAGGACAGTTTTCCAACCATGTTGAACTGAGCTAAATATACAGATAGAGTAAAAGAAAAGAGAATAGTTTATAAAGGGACAAACATTTATCATTGAATTATCATTTGTAGACTTACGTTGCTTTGTGTTCCTTCTTCTTCTTTTTCTTCAACAAAAAATGCAGCATTATCCAGGAGAATTCCATCTATTCCTTCTTTCATCCAAAATTGGATCACATTCTATCGGTAATAATACAGTTTAATAAGTGGATTCATTGAAACATACAAATATTGCTTTCTGAGTTTTGGCAGAAGTTAAATCTAGATCTATGCTTGGATATTCAAAAACTGAATAGTATTTTTGATGACTAATATTCACGTCCAATCGATTTCCATATCGTGACTTCTTTATGTAGATAAAGTGTAAAGAGACTATAGAACAATGAAAGTAGTTTTACCTTGTTCTTAAAGTCATCATCAAACAACCTCAGTTTGACTTTGTTCTCTGTGATCCATTTATGATTGATGGATATCGCATTGAAATCGAATGTCAAGATAACTTTTATATCCTTTTTATGAAATTGTTTTAAAAGAATACGAAAATCAGCCATTGTGCCGACTGCCTCATCTAACTGCTCGTAATCTTCCACTAATCCGAGCATATTGTATGAATTAGTGTAAAATCCTTTAGTAATGGGACCTAATATCACATATCCTGCACCGACTACAGTTTTGATGTAATCTACTTCAGATGTGAGTCCTATAAGGATAAAATCATCATTTGAGCGATAGAGGTTTTACACTAATACTCATTACCGTTTAGATCTCCGACTAAATCGCCAGAAGAGTCTTTAAATGCAAACACATCTAACCAGTAACCAACTGTTGATTTCCAAAATGGTAATTTGGGCACAGATGGACATTTTTCTCCAACAATTATGTAAACAATACATGCTGCTAAAAGACCAAAAAATATAATCCCAAATCCAATTAATAATCCTATTCGAATATATCTCCAACGAGGTTCAATTTTGTCTAAATTAATCAGATCTTCACGAGTGAGTAGACGACTCTCTAATTGAGATTGATGTTCAAGTAACTTTGACGGAAAACTCGTTGCATCTTCTTCTTGTTTTTCTGTCAACGTCCTTTCAAATTTCTTTGAATAATTATGCTCGCCATTCTCCAAATCAACTGTCTTTCTTTCAGTTATCTGCTTTGGATTTTCAGGTCTTTTCATAAATAGTAGACCATCGTTGGTTTTCATGGCTTTGTTTGGATACCGACTTGTTCTCTAATGAACTGTAATGAAAGTAGTCAATTTCAATAACAAGACAGTTGCTTCAATCTTTCACCATTTATGCGTTCTTATTTATATACTATTCCTCTAGCCAAATAATTGCTGTGCTTGAACATACAGAAACGATATAGTATCAAATGGAATGAACAACTAACCAGTCAACTCAATCTCTTTTCATAATCATTGGATAACTAGTTTGACTTTCTCTCTCTCTCTCTCGCTCTTTGTGTGTGTGTGTGCGTATCTAACCGAGAAATGCAGGTCTGAAATAATGATCAAAATAATTAGACAACAAATGGTAGTAAACTTACCTTGATGTAGTTACGGCCTTACACAAACTTATTTAAAAGTACTTTATTGTATGAAGTCAGTAAATTACATGTGAACAAGAAGAACTGGTTAATTAAGTTGAATATTGATGACTTCGGTTCCATGTAGTAGGCGTATAGGTAAACTATATAAGCAACTGAACACTGAAAACACAAGAACTACTGAGGAGTCCCATACTAGGATGAACCGGTTGTCTAGTACTTTCTCGTCTTCAATGGTGGTCTGACGTTGTTCCATTCATGATAGACTAATCTAAACTCGACAATCTTCACAGCCCCATACTGAAAATTAACAACTAACTAAAATAATCTACGGTGTCATTGAAGAAGAATTAAGATCGATCAGCGAGTAAAGTGTTTCATTTCGATGACAACACTTGCTCGAGTTGTACAACTGCTTACTTACTTAATTACTTATTTACTTACGCTTTTTACCCTCAATGGAGCACATGCTGCCGACAAGCATTCTCCAACCCACTCTGTCCTGAGCCTTCCTTTCTTGTTCTATCCAGCCGTTGTTGATTCTTCACATGTCTGTCTCCATTTCTCGACGTAACGTGTTCTTCGGTCTTACTCTTCTCCTTTGACCTTAAGCATTACATGTGAGGGCTTGCCTTTTGACGCAGTTGGCTTCTTTCCTCAATGTGTGTCCTATCCACTTCCAGCGCTTCTTCGTCCTTATTTCTTCCTCCACTGGGATCTGGTTTGTTTTCTCCCACAGCAAGTTGTTGCTGATAGTGTATTACAGACGGATCCGAAGTATTTTGCATAGACAACTGTTAATAATCACTTGTATCTTCTGGATGATGGCTTTCGTAGTTCTCCAAGTTTCCGACCCATACAGTAGAACTGCGTTGACATTTATATTGAAAATTCCGACCTTGGTGTTGGTTGACAGTTGTTTTGAGTTCCAGATGTTCTTCACTTGTAGATGTACTGCTTTTATTTTGTCTATCTGAGCCTTCACATCTTCATCAGATCCACCGTGTTCATCAATGATGGTGCTCAGATATGTGAAGAGTTCTACATTTTCCAAATCTTCTCCATCAAGTGTGATTCGATTGGTGCGTGTTGTGTCGTATCGTAGAATCTCGCCTTTTACTTTGTGTATATTGAGACCTTGTAGTGTCGGTTATTATGTTAGGCCAACATAGCTTATTCTGGCTTTCAGACAGGTCAATCAATTCATTCTACTTGAGTCACATTTTCGTCTCGTTACTTATTCGCTTATCATTCATGACTGTTTTTATATGAGCGCATATATATGTTTACACTTTTTATCCTATTCATCACATGTCTGTAAACTATTTTTGTGTGACTATAAATATTGATTAACGCTTGGTTAAATGGGGAGTCGGCTCACCCGCCATCTCCACTGCGCGTCATTTCGCTTTGCTCTATTCCATTCGCTCCATATACAAAATATATGTATTCAAAAGTTCATTCTCGTTATTTGACTTATTTAATTCAGTTATTCACACTAACGCGATTTAAGTCGATGATTATATATGAGGATAGGCGACATATATATTTCAATAACAATCAATCATACGATTAAATTGGAGTTAGATTCCTGGTCACTAGAACCTAATGTTTCTGAGGCTTCTGCTACACTGGTCGTCTTCTCCTGCATTTGTTGTTGCGTATATGATAGATAAGCCAAATCGTCTACGAAGTCTAGATCGTCCGGCTGGATCCTAGCTGTCCACTGTATTCCGTGCTTCCCTTCAGATGTTGACGTCTTTATGATTTAGTCGATCACTAGGAGAACGAGGAAGGTTGTTAGTAAGCAACGTTGCCTGACACCGACCTTTACTTCGAACGAGTCTGTCAGCTATCCTCCATGAACGATTTTCAGTTTAATCCATCTTATGAATTCAGAAGGATGTTGACTATATTCTCAGGTACGCCGCAGTATCGAAGAAGCTTACATAGTGTTGTCCTGTTCACGATATCAAATGCTTTCCCGTAGTCAATGAAGTTGATGTAGAGTGATGAATTCCATTCAGTCGATTGTTCCATAATGACCCGTAGTGCTGCGATTTGGTCGGTACACAATCGATCATTAAGAAATCCAGCCTGTTGGTTTCGAAGTTGGACGTCTACGGAGTCCTTCATTCTGTTTAACAACATCCTATTGAAGAAGTTCCGTGGTATTGAAAGAAGAGTGATGCCCTTGCACTTAAGACACTTGTTGAGATCGCCTTTCTTTGGTATCTCGATCAACTGTCCTTCTTTCCAGTTTGTTTGTAATTGTTCTTTATTCTTTTTCTCATTATACTCCATTAAATTAATTTAAATTATGTCTAACAAATTTCGTGTGTTATACCGTTTCCCAGTAACAACTTTGTCACCAACTTGTCAAGTATATATGTATGCAAATGAATGTTGATTTCAATTTGACAACAAGTATAATGCTCACATATTTATCCATATACTACCTCTAAAAATCATGTTTCTTCACCAGACTTTTGTTTATATTTTAGGAAAAGTCAGATAAATATGCATATAAAGACGGAGAATATTCAGATATTCAGAGTAAATTACGATGATGGTAGTGATGACAAAGACGATGACCAAAATTACAATTGTAGAAAGTAGGAAGTTTGTCAAGAGATTGCTTCGAAATTATATTTGGCATTGTTATCGTGTACAATAATATCGTCTTCTGAACAACGAATTGTATGACAAACATATTTGATTTCTTCATTCAATTCTTCATTACAGACACTCGTACCACTGACAAAGCCGTTGGAAACCGAAAATATTACCACATATTGACAATAGACAATTTTATGGGTTTGCCTGAGTTGGAATGAGAAGACATTGGAATGTGATTAGTTGGGATATGACATACTACGTATGAACTAAAGGTATTTGCTTGTATGTTCGTGATTGGATATGAAGAGATGTGATCTGAAGCATTTGAGCTATCAGTCGGAGATGAGTTATCCCGGTACCGTTGACAACTGGCACTGTCGATAGACTAAACACAATTATCAGGCTTGGTGACGTCATTTATGAAGTGTTGGGTAAGTGTATCAAAACAAGTATTTGTTTAGATAGTACCATCTCAGTAACATTGAAAATTCTGTCAATATGATTAAGATGATCTGATAAACTGAAGTATTTGAATTATGGTATGAACTAAGAATCCCAGATATAACGTAATCGGATAAAGAAGGACTAGATAACCAAAAACGAATGTACTGTATTTAGAATTCTCAATCAAGCATTCAACAAGTACAAAGGTATCATTAGTTCATTCAAACACCACACATTATTTCGCAGTGGTTTCTGATAGTCCTTCTTCTAACTTAGTCTGACACACAGTCGATAATTTCGACTGTCTGAAAAATGCAACAGATATTGTTCACTTGAAAATTACCGTGGTTCTTATACCAGATGTCGTATTTGAATAAAATGTGTAATGTTCACAGAAGAACACAACAAAATGGGTACACGGAGATGGACACACAGAAGGTGATGACTGAGCTAAAACACACAGCTAAATCTTTAACTAGATCTGTAGTTAAAGCTAATTAGTGAAAGATATTCCATATTTGTCTACATGACTGATCAATTATTTGCTAATTCGTGCTGAGCTCACTCTACAAACGAATGTCCGATGTATTTGTGAAACCGAACAGGATAATTTAAGTATAAAGTTGATCCTGATTACTCATGTTGAAAGAAAATTCCCGAAAGATAATAGGGTGTATGTAGTTCACAATTGCAGGACGAGTAACAGTAAACATGTACAAAGCAGTCAATAGGATCATCGTCTTTATGGTGGCACATATTACCTCTACATTGAAGTATTTTTGTTTGTACTCTAGTTCACAGTTTCTGCTTGCGATTCAACAGACTCATTTGATTCTGATTCATGTCACTTACTATCAAATTCTTTCCAAATTATCACATTCAAATATATTCTTCTGAAGCTTGTTCTTCGAGAAAATACTAGACGATAACATTGATGACACTAGCACAACAAACCTTCAATGTTTAAGATCTATATATAAGTGAATAGTATGTATATAACTTGAGAATCTGGGTGAATCGCAGTACATCTGTCACCCATCTGTGTATAATTGAGTTTAGAATGAGTGTAGGATGTAGATTTGGTAAGCCGGTGTTTGAGATCATGAACCTAATAGACCTAC